CCAAAGTTCCCTGGGACCTTCTCCTCGCTGGCAAGGCTCTCTATCATTCTTGCTTAATGAGTTCTGTGCACTGAAGTGTCCTGAACTGGGCTCTAGATATGCCTAAAACCAGCTAAGGCTGAAAGCATTTGAACTCTCCACTCTGCCAAATAGCTTCCAGATGTGTAAGATACAGCCTTGCTCTGCACTCTGACTGAGGCCGTGCCAGCATACGTCTGCACAATTCTGGTATAGGGAGAGCATGAAAGAGGATCTTTTATGGCATCTGTTGCCTTTTCCTGATCCTCGCCATGTATTGCCATGTGTGTGTTTTTTCAGTTTATCCTTCCAATGTTGAAATACTGTGACTTTTTTTAAAAATGAGCACTTTTTTCCACTGATGCTCCAAATGTTTCACACCTTGTCAATTAGACTCAGCATACAAAAGCCATTTCTGCTTCCACCCTAGTTTATAACATAAGCTTTATTTTTCCCTTAAACTTCCAATCATGTGTAATTCATGTGACTATAGTTATGAGTAATATACTTTAACATAAGGCATATTCAGTTTTGGCTGGTGTGGGCAACTGTGGCAACTTTACAACCTGTGGTCTTCAACTTCCAAAATTCCCTGGCTCAGGAATTCTGAGAGTTGAAGTCCACAAATTGTAAAGTTCCCATAGTTGCTTACCCCTGGTCTACACAGTCACAGAAAATTGGGATAGGAACTAAGAAAAAACATCCTCCCAATATTCCAAAGATAAACAAATAAAAGCACATTTCAGACTAGGAAAAACTGCCTACGCTTTTTTAAATAATTACTGTTAGTTTTCTTCAGAGAAGGACAAGATTTCGGAGTTTGGGAATTTGGGAAATCTGAGAGTGTGTCATGGGGAAACCTAGTGTGAAGGAGTGTTTAATTGTTAGATTAGGGTCAAGGAGACCCACATTTAAAGGTAAAAACTTGACCTATGAAAGTTGACTGACATATTTTGGTTAGTCGCTCTCCCAGCCCCACCTATTTCACCTGACTGTCATTTGAGGATGAAATGAAGGGAAGCTGGTTTGAATTCTTGGAGAAAATGCAGGATATAAATATAACACAGGGGTAGTCAACCTTGGCTCTTTTATGACTCGTGGACTTCAACTCCCAGAATTCCTGAGCCAGCTAAGTCATAAAAGAGCCAAGGTTGACTACCCCTGATATAACAGATAAACTAAATAAGAATTCTTACTAATTAGACACAATGGGGATAGCCTATTGATATAAACTTTTAAAGGAAAACCAGGTGAATTAATGTGATTGTGCAAAGGTTGTACCTGCTACAGTCTTTTTAAAAAGCAGACAATTCAGGGATTCTTTATAGACAGAATATTTGAAGGTTATCTAAAATAAATTCCAAGTTTATTATTGCCCTCCCTTGGTTATCAATGAGTTTCCAGGATCTCACTTCTCATTAGGTATTCTGTGACTTTGTACATTGAGCATAAATATTTTATTTTTCAAGCAAATAGACTAAAAATGTTTCCAATGACAAAAGATTTTTTAAAAAAACACAGTAGTCTGTTTTAAGATTGCACTTTTTAAATATAGAGATCGATCCATTATATATCCATTTTAAATATAGAGATCAATCCATTTAGGTTTGCATCAATACAAATTAAAGGCAGGGTGGAGAGATTCTAATACATTTGCAATCAACTTTTTAGTACATGTACTAATTAATTTATATTTATCTTCCCAGACTTCTTTAAAGGATACCAATAATGATTCTAAAAAAGACAATCCATCAGAAAAGAAATCATTGAATATTTAAATAATCCCACCATGGCAACAAAGTGGCACATTTTGGATTTTTTTTTATTTACTCAGATGTGCTTATAGGTGTGTACACGTACCCCAAACAGATGTGTATATTTGTATTCCAAAGATAAGTGTATCATTCTGTTATATCAGACTATTTTATATAATATTAATAATGTGCTGTGAAAAAATTGCCATGATGGATATGACCTACAACAAAACATCAGATCTGGAAGATCTTGGACATCTAGTCCAACCCCTATCTTCAAGTACCCATTTGTATAAGACAAATTAAGCACTAGATTGTAGCTACCCAACATTTTATTTTTTAAGAAAATGCCTGGGGATTATGTGGCCCAGAGCTATTGTGGGAAATGCAACCTTAAGCTGCGATTTTGTTGGGAGGCAATGCTAACCACCCTTTACTCTTTAAATGAAAAGGATGTCTAAATTTCAAATTAAGTGGGACAAGGAACATAGTGAACTCCAACAAAGGTATCAGGCCCATATTGGTGATCCAGATCCTATCTCCTCCATTTTTTGAAAATTTGCCCGTGGAAAAGCAGGAGGGGGAAACAACTTCAGATGAAGGTCTCAGTCCACTTCCCTTTCATTAAAAAGTAACACCTAGCAGCCAGAAAATAATCTTTGGAAGTGAGGTGTACACAGATCCATGGGAAACAACTTATAAGTTGTATCTGGGGGAGGTATAGAAACTTTGGAGACTATTTGCAGTAACAATGATTGCTTGTTTCTTCTGCTTCTATTTACAGCATTTGTCAGCCTACCATCCAATTTGCGTAAAAGTCCAAACCTTGTTCAGCCTTATGGTATGAATTTCGTAGGCATGAGCAGCAGGTAGTAACTACATTACAACAATCACATACCTTAAATGGCATTAGGCAGAGTTTTTCTTAAAAATATAAAGAAAACTTAGGGCAATTTAAATTTAGTTCTTAATCTTTCCTCCACGAATGGAAAGTATTTGTTTTATGTTTATTCCAGTCTATGACCAGCCAGTGTATCAAAAAGAAGAACAAAGACATGAGGCAAACAGCCCAACAAATAAAATATGCATGTCATAATCAAACTGCAGGGTGTGGGCATCCTCTCAGCTTCTAAAATAAGTCACTAAGCCAACTAAAATTGTTGTTTGTTGACATAAAACAAAGCAAAATAAAATGTTGCTTTTACCCTCAAAAGCATGTTTAAAGAGAGTTATGTAATTAGAAATGAATAAATTATTTCTTTGTTACATAGAGAATAAAAGAGGACAATAAACAGTTATTGGGCAGGTAACATCTTAACAAATGTGAAATATACTTTCTTAGCAGGGGTGAGACCTTGTTGATATTTGGAAGGTGACCATGAACATTTTGTGAACTCCATTGCTCGGCTGCCTCTCCAACTTTCCGATCAAAGCAAATCTCATAGAAAGCATGGTATTAATGAACACATGGAAATCTAGAAAGGCTGAAGATCAGTAAAATATATAGTGATACATATAAGTCCTTCAACCACCTCAAAATTACATGCACTATAACCCATCCATAAGGATATCATCCCAAAAAAATCTGAATGGTTATCATGAAGAAAATCAAGATTAAGGTAGAATCAAAGAAAAAAGACTAGGTTTTTCTCTTGCTATTACTTATGCTCTGATGTTGTCATATTGTAATATTGGCTGGATTTGTTTTTAGCTATAAGACACCTTTGAATTTTTATCTTTGAAGGCATAATAAGAATAATTTAAATCAATAAAATATACAAATATGCATCCCAAATTAAAGCAGAAGATTTTAATTTTATCTTCAGAAATGAACTGGTCTTGAATTGTAATTCACCCTATGCCTAATAACAAAATATTTTTGCTTCCTCCCAAAACTTTAAATGGAGCTACACTAGAAGAGAAAGAGCAAGCTGTATGAAATGTTGGACTAATTCATTTTTATGCATCAAATCAAACATTGTGCTTTATGCCAAGTTGCTGGATTAGTAAAAAGGGGGGGAAAAGAACTCAGAAGCCTCCAAATCCACATTCTTTCGGCTAACAGTTCTCAGTTTTCAACCCTACCCTTTCCTTGGAGGCTGTTATTCAATATTTTGACTATGGGGCATGGTGACCGATAAGCTCATTTTACCAATTAAATAAAAGCACATTGCTAGCTAGTCGCCAGATGGAATTATTTCTGCCTAACATGACCTTCACTGGAACCCAAGAGCTGATTTGATACAGCATCCTTCATTGGTCAAATAAAATATGAAGTGCAGATGCAAAAGGCCTTGGGTTTAGGAAACACAGACTTAACTTTGAATGCAGATGTGAGTTTTGACAATCAAGTGCTAAATTTCACCTCTTTCATTGTCTCAGGGATGAGATTTACCAGCTCTTCAGTCCTGGAAAAATTGTGATCCAGACAACATTTGACTTATAACTAAAATGTAATGGTTTATATATAATTCCAATAAAATGAGAGGAGTGATACCCAAAATAAGACGTATCACAGTTGTGTCGTTTTCATGGTTTCCCATTTTTCTTCAGCACTGCTATTTTTTTGCCCTACAGTATCTAAATTTAAGGTTCCATTTGTTACTCATTTTCAGTACTCATTATAGGGCTAGCTAGAAGCCTAAAACTGTATTTCCTCAATATCAATTAGATCAATCTATAATGCCTGCTCTAAATCCAACACTCACTTATCCAAAAGGCAGGTTAGGGGTGCTAGATAGCCCTCTTTGGCCACTTCTTACAGAACCATAAAGAATGGAAGATGCCATGTGGGAAATGTCCACTATTTGCAGCAGAACCACCACAACAGCATCCTTAACAGGCAGCAATCCAGTCCAGTGATTTTGTTGACAAAAACCAAAATGCAAATCCAGGTGAGACAAATCAGATTTTGATTGAAAATTAAGCATAAAATAAGGATAACAAAGTTATAGTTTTACCTTTATTGTGTTCCAAAATGGTTCTTCCTCCCTGAACAATAGGGACAAAGAAGGGAAACAAAACCTACGTTGAAAAATAAACTAACCATTCCATGATTGACCTGACAAATGAATTAAATGTCAGAACTCTGTCTTTCTATGGGCAAGGGAATTACTGTTGTTTTTCAGGTTCTGCCATTCTTCTGGAGGAAGGGGGCAGCTTGGAGTTGCTAGTGTATTTCCTTAGTTTTTGTTCCTTGCTCTATCCTCTTTGATGTTTCTTTCTCAGGGTGAGAATGAAATGTGCCTCCGGCCATCTGCCTTATCTCCGGGTGTGGAAAAAGAGGCGCAGAGATCTAACTGCCATGGAAGCGGTGCCTTATCGCTCCATTCCCACAACATTTTCAGACCGGATGGACAGTTGGGGTGGGGTTTACATTGACTCTTTTGATTTATTAATTCGTGGGGGAAACCTTCGGATCCTGCCTTCTACTATGCTGTCAACACCTTCCAATAAAAGTTCCTTTTGAAATGATGTCTGTTTCAAGAGTTCTGCTTTCTTGGGAGTCTTAATTGAGGCATTCTTGGGTATTTGGTTTAGTAGCCTTTTAATTCCACTAAAGGGAATCCTTGGAACAAGTAACCAGAAGCTAAAATTAAGAAATGGCACTGGTGGTAAAGCATTCTTTTCTACACTTGATTCAAAGCAATCATTTCATTCGAGAAAAAAATGCTAAAAGTTTTCAATCCCAAGTACAACTTGAACCCAATTCTAAAAGAAAAGAGGCAATTATCCAGGAATGAATTAACCTTTGCAAAAGAAAAGCTTAATTTTATTTCCATATATTCCTTTTCCCCTTTCAGTAAACAAAGGGGTGCTATTTCTTATTCACAAATCATATTAAAATCAAGTTATTTGGTACTGCAATGGCATACATAACATTGTATTTTTACCTAAACAGGTAGCACAATAATATTTTTGCAAGGTTGATTCCCACAGGCATTAAAACATAATGGAACAGCCTCTCTTTCTCCAGCATCTCTGCTGACTTCTGTTTTGAATGCAAAAAATCTTTATTTATTTTTGTACCTGAGGGGACACCTAGGAGATAATTGCATATGCAAACAATACTCTAATGCTGTTTCACTTTATTGAAGGTCACAAGTACCATCGGATGAGAAAAAGCAAGTTTTATAAGATCCAGCACTCAGGGATGTTGGAGATCAATGAAGAATGGACTCATTATCCAGAAGCATAAATGAAATGAATTTCTACACTAAATTCAAGACAGTGAGATCAGATTTTTATGGGAAAAAATTAGACCATTTGCATACCTTTTGTCTTCCTTAATTTGTGTTAAACAAACCCTTCATTTTACCAAGTCTCCACACTCCAATCATAAATGTAAAAGAAAAAAATATATAAAAGAAAAAAATATTTCTATAAAGTGTTCAGTAGAAACCTTCTCAGTCAATCTTTTAGCTGGTGAGCAGGCTTGGAATATTGAAAGCAGGCCATAGGCACTTTCATAAAAAGTGGGGTCATGTACAAACAACCATTTATTAGAACCAAATTGATGTAATTGTTCTTGGCCATCTATTCAGGCTGTTGTTTATCAAGTCAATTTTTCATTATCTTTGAGTGGTAGACTGGGGTGAAGAACTTTTAAATGTCAGTAGTACAGAGAAGTCATAGGCTTCCAAAAAAGGGAATAAAAGACAGTAAATGGACAAGGGGCTATGTTTCTCCCAAATTGTAGTTCCTTCCAGCAGCTCAGAACTTGGTCAGTAATTCAAATCCTGCCCTTATAACATTATAATTTAATTGTCAACTCCCCTGGAGAATAAGAACTATCACCTTAATGAATCCTTGGTGGAGTCAGTGAGAGAAATCCATAGAAAGTATTGATTAAATATTATACTATATTATATGTTATGTATTTATACCCTCTCTTCATTATTTTTATAAATAATCCAAGATGGAGAACATAGCTAATATTCCTTCCTCCTATTTTCTCTACAGCATCCCTGGGAGGTTATTTGAGCTAAGAGAGAGTGACTAGCCCAAAGTCAACCAGCTGGCTTTCAGGGCAAGGCGGCACTACAACTCACAAACTCCCAGTTGTGGTGCTTTAGTCCACTAAACCAAAATGACTGTCATTGATGCTATCTTTCTAAAATACTATTAAACCTATGTTGTAAACACATGCTTGATTTTTCTCTAGCTTGAGTTCGTAATTTCTTTGATTCAAGGATTTAAAGTTTCATAGCCATAGAAAATATTTTTTTAATTTACAATAATATAAAGGCAGTCTTTTAAATCCACCTTCCTTTGGATGACCAGAAATAAAACTCCAACAGGATGGGAATTACAAGAGATGGAGCCACGCTGAGCACTGAGGCAATATAATAGCATACCATATTTATTATAATGATGGTGTAACAGCAAGAGACCATGCCATAAAATAATGAAAAATATTTGCAATCATTGATAATAGTGCTCAAAGTATCCTGAATTTATTCTCATTTTCTCATAACACCAGCATTAGCTGATAAGAAATTATGGAACCAACACTTTCTCAGCTTTTAAAACAGCAGGGTACACCAGGTTATTATAAAGCCATTAAATAAAGCAAGCCCAGCATTTTCTTCTGCAATATGTTAACCTAGGCCAAAAAAGGTGGACTAAAAATGTCAAAAGACAAATGAATATGTGGTTTATATTTATGGGAGAAAAAATTCCTAGAAATGGAACAGGATTGCTTCCAGTTACCACCATCAGATTTTCTCTCTGAATTTGACACAGTTAGTAAAGTCAGTTTGTGAATGAAAGTAAAATCAGACAAACTAAGCAAACTCCCCAAATACTATATGTGGTAGTATGGTTCAGAAGTGAAGTAGCTGAACTGACTTTGGGAAGATCGCTTTAAAGATCCTATGAACCATGGAGTTTGCAGGGTGACTTCAAGCTCCCTAACTTAGCTCTCTGGGACATTCTAAAAATTAAAGATAAATATGTAGTGCCTTGACCTTTTTGGGGAAAGACTGACTATAAAGTGAATAAGAAAATTGTTAATAATAAGGCAATATTCTTTTAGAAAACCCAAATTGTTTCTATATTCCTTATAAAATATGGAAGTTCCACACAAATGATCATAACAACCTAAAATTGCACAGATATGCAAAATTGTGTTCTGAGATAGAATCAGCAAAGCCTGCTTGAGAAGTATTCAGACCAGAACAAAGACCTAAGGAAGATAACAGTAAATTTGTTGAACTCACATTACAGCAAACAGGCAAGGAAATCTGTCTTAAAGAAATGCTCATTATGTATGTATGTATGTATGTATGTATGTATGTATGTATGTATCTATGTATGCATGCATGCATGCATGTATGTATGTATAATTCAGGCAGATATAAAGACATATGATTTGGCCTCCAAATAGATTACATTTGGCAATCTATTATTTGGGATCTTTACACTGTGCTTCAGCAACATCAGCTTCATACTTGAAGGAATCTGCAGCAAATGTGATGCTATTGCAATATAGCACTATTGCAATACGTCCCACACACAGTTCTTTTCTTCTTGCCTTGGTTCAGATAAATTTACTATAGCCAGTCCATACCAGAAGAAAGATTACCCTCTGCTCCTTATGGCTATCTTAATGTGCATTTCTTCAGCCCCTGACTCAGCTTAAACTGCATTGCTCAGAAGCCAACTTCTAATCTGCTTCAACAAAGAAGCTGGCAAGTGATGCTCTTCTTCTGACACTTTTCATGCAGGACAAGTTAAGAAAAGTGACTGATAGATTTCCCCAGCTTCATTTCCCCTCCCATCAAATACCAGCAGCTTATGGGAAAACAATCCATCAGCCACTGTCCTTAATTAGACAGGGGAAGAGAGACAAGTTCTGTCAGATACCTAGACTTGGAGATTAGCAATCTGTCAAAACTTGCTGTGGTTCTGTATAAGTGTGCATTCAAAGATAGTCCCAAATAACCAAACTCTTAGCTTATACCAGCTGATAGGTAATTTTTAGACATGGGTTTAGCACTTTTCTGAAATAGTGCTATGTAGTAGCACTCTTTTGGAGAAGAACTGAGCCCATATTTAAAACTGGCTTGAAAAACAGCTGATCACCACACATCTCCTCCTCCTCAGCCAGGCTATTTGGTAAAGAGATGCGTGCTTAGATTCGCAATATATTTGGAAATAAATTCCATTGGATCTGGTGGGATTTACTTCTACCTAGATCTCAGGCTGGCAAGATCTATTGGGGATTTCAGTAGAATTTTGAGATCCATGATCTGGAGCCAAATAGATATAAACATGCACTTAGAATTTATCTTAAGTATCAAAACTGAATAGCATTGCCAGACAGCACTCTTTCTCACTCTCTATCTGCGTAGGAGGTTTTTTACTAAGCAGCTCACAGGGAGAGGGAGGGAGGCTCCACCAACTATGCCCTCAGAAGCCCTGCAGAAGAGAGACGAGCCAAATTTTAAGGTTGAACAGGGGTAAGAAAAACAAAACAAATATGTATAAACAGTTGCATATAACTATCATTGTACATGCTGAGAAGTTGGGTGTTTAGGGACATACGTAGGAATCATTTCCTCAGTGCTGATACTAAAGCCAACACAATTTCACCAGCAGACAAGCCAACCACTCCTAAGCAGAAATTAGGTGAGCAACCCCGAACCCACAGGCCATGCTACCCCTTCAACTTTTTTTTTTTTGTTGTTGTTCCTGTAATTCCCAATGCTACCTGGATTGTGTCTTCTTGACAGCTGGTGACAAACCACCAAACAACAGTAGTGCAATATTCTGTTTACTTGGGAATAAAAACAAAATAAAATTGGTATGTTTACTGCTGAAGAGGATCTATAAAACTCTTTAAATCTTTATGTTCTTCTGCAGATACCATTTTGTTATTGACTCAACTATTGCAGGCCCAACCATATTAAAAAAAAATCTATCTCTGGCCTAAATGAATTTTCCCATCTCAATACAGACAAAAACAAAACAAGAGTTAAAATCGGCAGCTAAAGAGTATAACAGGGACATCTGGGTGCCTTATGAAATTGCCATAAGAAAGCATGTAGAGTGCCCAATAACAAAAATCCATGTCTTTTACTATAAATTCTATTTAGAGTAAATCATAAAAATTAGTTGCATCAGTGTTTTTCAAACTAAATAACTTTAAATGTGTGGACTTCAACTTCCAGAATTTCCCAGCTTGCATATTGGCTGAGGAATTCTGGGACCTGAAGTCCACACATCTTAACATTGTCAAGTTTGGGGGGGTGGGGGTGGGGAACTGAGTTAGATTATTTTGCTGCCATCATTTCATGAGCTTTACTCTAATATAACATCACCACCAAATGGATTTGAACTGGCTAACAAACCTCACTCGACATGCAGTCCTTAATGGAACTACATCTACATGGAGGTAAGTAAGCAATGAGGTGCCACATAGTTCCATTTTAGGC